CAGGCAACCCATGACTACTACTTTAAACCTGTACTCTCAAAAAATTTCTTCTTCATCTGAAAACAAGGGAACTCAGTTCTTCCTCTCAGTTGTGAGGATGGTGTAAAACTGGGCAGTGTTGTGTTCTTTTGTTTCAATATGAATCAGAACCGACTGGACTGCACCTAAATAACAACAAGTCCTCTTAGACTAGTTAAGACCTTGTTTTATCTCATATATGGTGAGATCAATAGCGTTTACCTATTCTAGAACCTTCAAAGACACCTGCATATGTATTGTATGTTTATAATCTTCTGTTCAAGCGCCATCTTGTCGGCATATGTCTTTATAACAGGAATCCTCTGACTACCTGTGTTATTTTTGCCTCTGCTCCTTTGTCCCTTTGTCTGTAATGCCCTTTCCGTTCTTGTCTGTCCAAGTCAATATTTTTCCAAGACTGCTGAGTTTTGCCTAGGAGATTCCTTATTTCTCACATCTTCCTAGAGTTTTATACACTTGATCAGATTTTATCTTCTGTTGTCCTCTAATTACTGCATGTATGATGTTCTTGATGTCATACCACAACTCTTCTGGTCTTCGGTCTTTAGTGTTTAATGCATCAAATCTGTTCTTCAGATGATCTCTAAATTCAGGAGGGATACATTCAAAATCATATTTTGGCTCTCGTAGATTTGTTTTCATTTTCTTCAGCTTTAATTTGAATTTGCATATTAGTAATTGATGGTCTGTTCCACAGTCTGCCCCTGGCCTTGTCTTCACTGATGATATGGAGCTTTTCCATCTTCTCTTTCCACAGATGTAGTCAATTTGATTTCTATGTGTTCCATCTGGCGAGGTCCATGTGTATAGTCATCTCTTATGCTGTCTAAAGAAGGTATTTGAAATAAACAAATCATTTGTCTTGCAGAAATCTATCATTCGTTCTCCAGCATCATTTCTATCACCAAGTCCAAATTTTCCAACTACTGGTCCCTCCTCTTTGCTCCCTACTTTTGCATTCCAGTCACCAGTAATGGGCAATACATCTTGATTGCATGTTTGATCGATTTCAGACTGAAGAAGTTGGTAGAATTCTTCTATTTCATCTTCACTGGCTTTAGTGGTTGGTGCATAAATTTGAATAATAGTGGTATTAACTGGGCTTCCCTGTAGGCGCATGGATATTATCCTATCATTTATAGCATTGTACCTCATGACTGATATGGATATGTTCTTTTGACGATGAATGCAACATCATTCCTTTTCAATTTGTCATTCCCTGCATAGTAAACTATGTGGTTATCAGATTCAAAATGGCCAATACCAGTCCATTTTAGCTCACTAATGCCTAAGATATCGATGTTGATACGTTCCATTTCATTTTTGACAACTTCCAATTTTCCCAGATTCATACTTCGTACATTCCATGTTCCAATTTTCAATGGATGTTTACAGCTGTTTCTCTTTATTTTAAGTTGTTGCCCATCAGCAAATGCAGGTTCTGTGTGCTTTTCTCCCCCAAGCTTAACTGTATTCATGTCATTATGGTCAATCCTACTTTGAGGAGGCATTTTTTCCACAATCGCTTTCTGAGTGCCCTCCCACCTTCCAGTCCTATATCTGACAATGTTTCTCTGCTATGCATAGAGTTTTCAGTGACTAGCGATTCGGAAGTCGTTTGTCACTCTTTCTTCCTAGTCTGTCTTTGTTTTGTAGCTCATCTGAAACCTTTCCACCATGGGTGACCCTGCTGGTTATTTAAAACACCGGTGGCATAGCCCTCAGAATCACAGCAACTCAAACCACCACAGCACGACAGACAGAAGAACTAAATGGTGCCTGGCTGTCATTACCAACTGCTCTGAAAAGGATCACATTAGAAGATCCTGGATAGAGTGGGAGAAAAATGTGGAACAATATGCAAAATTATTCAAAGAAAAAAAACAAAATAAAACAGACCAGGCTTACCAGGTTGGATCGAGACTGACAGAACCCCAGAAACTATGGTCCTTAGTCACCCTTCAGGTCTAGCACTTAGTTCACCCCATGACTCAGTTGTTAGTCAAACACTAGACAGGTAACAATAACACTTGTTGTTGTTAAGTGCCGTCAAGTCGGTTCCGACCCATAGCAACCCTGACCAAGGTTTCTGAGGCTGTAAATCTTTACGGGAGCAGAAGGCCTCATCTTTCCCCCACGGAACACCTGGTAGTCTCGAACTGCTGACCTTGCGGCTCACAGCCCGATTTGAAACCACTATGCTACAATAACACTAGGGAGTTATTAAAAAAGGAACAATAACACTAGGGAGATATCCATACCTTATAATAATCAAATTGTTTGAGATCAAAAGGGCATCATTACCCAGGGGCAAAGCTCAGAAGGAGTAGGAAAGAAGGTGAAATGAAAACAGAAAACACAGAAAGGAAGTAGGATAAGTGATATTACATTTTAGAGACTGCAATCAATGACACAAAACAAAATGTGTATGAATTGTTGAATGGGAAACTAATCTGCTTTGTAAACTGTCATCAAATTCACAATAAAATGGTTTTGGGTTTTGTTTTGTTTTTTAGTGTATACTTATGGCCCTTGGTCACTCTTCAGCTCTGGAATTGAACTCCACCTCATGACTCAGTTTTCAGCCAAGCAGTCGACAGGTATATAGAGGGGAAAACAATACTAGCAAGGTATGCTTAGCATGGAATGGTCAACCATTCAAGATCAAAAGGACAGCATTTATTTTTAAAAAGAGTGGGAAGGAGAACCAGCATGAAAACTAGAATCACAGGGAGAGAGTGGGATAGCTGATGTTACTGGGAGGGGATTGTAATCATTGAAATGAAAAGAAGTACTTAATTTGTTGAATATAAAACTGGTGATCTGCTCTGTAAACCTTCACTCAATTCACACACCGAGAAAGAGGTGGGATAAGTGAATTATCTAGGAGCCCTGGTAGCATAGTGGGTTACAAGTTGAGTTAAAACAAGGTCACCAAGTCAAATCTACCAGTCGCTTCTGTGGAAGAAAGATGAGGTTTTGGTAGCGTAGTGGTTATGAATCAGAAATAACTGTGAACCTCAAGGTCAGCAGTTCGAAATTACTAGCTGTTCCATGGGAGAAAGATGAGTCTGCTCCGGTAAAGATTTACAGCCTCGGAAACCCTGTACAGGGTCACTATGAGTTGGAACCAACTCCACAGCACGTAACAACAACAACAAAGATTTACAGTCTCAGAACCCTATTCAGGGTTGAACCGACTTGCCAGCACACAACCACCACCACCAAAAACTACCTTGAACAAGGGATCAAATCAACAACAGTAACTTGAAAGATTATTTATAATAAACCTTGTTATTATTGTTGTGAGAAATAACTCTTGTAGGCGTGGTCCATCTTCAGGAATTCATGAGATTGCTAGGCCTGACAAACAGATTGTTGATTTACATACAGGGAGGGATAGGTAACCTGGCTGTTCTAAGACTAGGAAATTTAAATAAGAATACAGCCATTAAGACAACGGACAAGTCATTTTGGCTTCTCTGGGGGGAGGAAAAATGGGACATGCCATAGAATTGTATATGGGGAACTGGAACTGGAGGAAGAGCTTTTTGGAGACAAGTATAAAAAACATTTGTGGCTCTCAATGAGTACAGATTGGATTACTTGAGCGTTTGTCAGTATAGTTTCTCAAATTGTTAAGTGCCGTGGAGTCGATTCTGACCCATTGCAACCCTGTATAGGGTTTCCAAGGAGCAGCTGGTGAGTTCGAACCAATAGCCTTGCAGTTCAGATGGCTTTGTAGTCTGGTGCATTAACCCACAAAGCCACACCAGGACTCCACAATAAATCTTAGAGGATAGTCAATTTATATTAACAAGGGAGGAGCACCTCAGAAAACTCAGGTAAGAATGGTTGCACAACTTGAAAAATGGATAATCAATGTCATTAAATTGTACATGTAGAAACTTGAATTGGAGTAGTTTTGCTGTGTATATTCTTAACAAAAGCAAGATAAGGAAAAGTTAGAAAAAGAAAAAAGAGATTTTAAAACTAGAGCCCCACTTGATATTGCATTAGAAATGAGACAGAGTGGGCTCTGTTCCTGTGGACATCAAGAAGAGGAAATTTGAGCTGAATTCCTGCTGATCTCTAGAGGCTAGAAATAGGAGTTCTAAACTAGCACTCTTATCAAATCTTATAAGAGTAACCAAAAACTATAGGAACCTCAGATTTCAGAACAAGAGTTAAATCAGTGGCAGTTCGCTTTGGCAATCCAAGAGTATCATTTTTTTAAAAAAGATAGGTGTCCAAATTCCACCTAAGAATTCCAAACCAGAAGGTTTCTGGTGAGGCCCAGTTAAGAGGCACTAGCAGTTCTGATACCCAGCCAAAATCAAGAACTGTTAGGTAAAACCCTAGAGTCATGTCCCTACTCCACTTTCAATTCATTTGGCCTCTAAAATTTCCCACTCCCAAGACAAAAACCAATTCCCTAATGTGCTAAGCCATATAGTAAGGGTTTCTTTAAGGCATTTTAGTCATTCCAGGAGTTCCCTACTATAAATTCTTCATCATGACTCCAGTTTCCCCTCAGTCAAGGGATGGAAGTGGATGATTTGCACAAATACATTTATTTAAGGATAATTTTTCAGAATCATTTGTGTTGGTTTTTATCTCTTTGAGTCTTCCCAATAGCTCATCCACAAAGAACAGTCCAAGTGAAGGGTCTTATCTGATAGCCCACTTGAGACCTATGTGGCAGCTTTGACAAGTTCCTCAATGGTAGTGCCCCACATCAGAGCCTCCAAGTCCATGTTCCGTCCTCCCCTCAGTAGGGCCTGCTCCTCCAAATCTGCCCAGTCTTCCTGCCAGGCTGCAAACCCTCTATCTTGAGTGCTTTAACCAAGCAATGAGGCAGGAGGACAATTGTAGTGGGTAGAGTTAGGGGTCAGAAATAATGGCATGCTACTTAGGACACACAGAGGAAATGGTCTCTTGGAAATGTAGATGAACTCTTCTCAAAAAGCTTGCTCTGTGGTTGATATTCCCTCAGGTTACTTTTTTCCAAGTGGTTTGTTCTGTGCTGACCTCACAGAAGGCCAAACTGGGTGCTGTAGGGAGGGGAAGAGAGAAACAAAGTACACGTTTAGTAAGCATTTCAGTATAAACAGCAGCTACCATTTCCTGAAGGAGTCCCTGGTAGCATAGTGGATTACAATCTGAGCTGGTTAACAAGGTCAGTAGTTCAAATCCACCAGTCACTCCATTGGAGAAAGATGAGGCTTTCTACTCCCATAAATTTTATAGCCTCAGAAACCCTGTACTGAGTCACTATGAGTTAGAACCAACTCGGTGACACACAACCACACCACCATTTATTGAGAGGGCAGCCATTGGTTCAGTAGTAAAATGCTGGCCTTCCCTGTGAGAGACCCAGGTTCAGTTCCCAGCCAATGTACTTCATACACATCCACTACTCTTCATCTGCCAGTTGAGGCTTGTTATGTTGCTTTGATGCTGAGTAGGTTTCAGCTCTTTCCATGTACCCTGTCCAAGACTGAATTTCACCTGCTTTATCTCCAGTGATCCCCACCATCAGGGATGTAGATATTATGATTCCCATATTAAGGATAAGGAAGCTGAGGCTCAAGAAGCTACATTACTTGACCTAAGTTACCTCATATAGCAAATCAGAATCAGGATTTGCAACCAGATCTGTTCAACTCCAAAGTTTATGATCTTCACTACTTTGTTGTACAGAGTCAGAAATAGCATGGCACGCTTCATTTATGTAAAATTAACTCAATTAAAATTTTTAAAAATCAAGTGCTTCTTTCTTATCCCTAGTGACCAGAATTCTCCCCCAGGCTTATTATTTTGGCATATAGTGTTTTAAAATAACTTGACCAAGCCCTGAAGGCCTCGAGTTTGCTTTACTTGATTCACTTCAAGAGGACAGAGTTGCTGGTTTCCAAGGAGTTAAAATTGCAAGCCCTTGTGATGTACAAGGTTTGTGCTTGACCACTAAATGAAAGGCTGGCAGTTCAGATTCATTCAACCATGGTTCAGAAGAAAGGCCTGGTGATCTGCTACCAGAAGATTAATTTGTTGCTGTCCAGTCAATGCTAACTCATGGTAGTCTCATGTGGTATATAGGAGAAGGGCTCCATAGGGTTTTCTTGGCTATAATCATATGGAAGCTGAACACGAGGCCTTTTTTGTGTGGTGCCACTGTGTAGGTTCAAGCACCAACCATTAGTTTAGAAATTAAGGACAAACCATTCACAATACGCAGGGAACTTTCCCTAAAATTTCAACCACTGGAAACCCATACAGTGTAGTTCTACTCTGAAATTCATGGGGTCACCAGGAGTTGGAATAAACTTGACTGCAGTGGGCTTGGTTTGGATTTAGCATTTGAACATGGGGGAGGTAGCATCAAAGTCACTACTATGTCACCTCTATTTTAGAGACTTTCTGCCTACAGTGCCCCCCAACTGAGTGAAATACTTAGCAAGAGCCACATTGCAACTCTATCAGCAGGTCTCTCAGTTCCAGGATGAGAGCTGGTAGTTACTGCAACATCACGTTGCAATGAAGGAAAAAGGATGTTGGGGGTGAAAATCACTACACTCAAATGACCCTTGAGAGTGGAGTTAATATTTCACTTAGCAGAACCAGGCCAGGTCTCTGATCTCACACTTCCTTGGCAGAGTCTTTCCTTGCTACCACCAGCTGGGAGTCCAGGGTCATATTGCCAGTACAATATGAAAAAACACAGTAATCTTCCCACAAACAGAAAGCGCCAGCCTTTCCCCTCCATCCAGCAGAACACTGCTCGGTTAATGGACGCCCTGCCTATCATTAGTCTACAAATAGCATCACTCACTCCACTGCTTGGAGAATTACAGAAAGCCAAGCAAAGAGAAAATATGAGTCACACTTCATATCACTACATGAAACTCAGCTTGCAGCCTGCCTAGCAGTTATATGAGAGCAAGATATAATAAGTGCTGGAATTTTTTTTTTAAGTCTAAATGTTGAAAGGAATCTTACTTTAATCTTTTGATAGAAAGGAAAACAATTCCTTGCAAGGAAACACTTGTGCAAGTACCTTAACACGTTCTTAGTATTAGGCTATGTTTAAATAAGGTTACCAAAGTCTGAGTTATGTTGAAGGGGAGCATAGAAAGTGGGCTTTGATTTTCACCCAGGAATGCCTACATTCCTGTACAATGAACAGTAAACATGCTCAGCTGCTAACTGAAAAGTTGGTGATTTCAGTCTACCCAGAAACACCTGGAAAGAAAGGTCTGACATAATTGCTTCTAAAAAATTGGTGGTGGTTATATGCCATGGAGTCGGTTCCGACTCAGCGACCCTGTACAGGGTTTCCGAGGCTGTAAATCTTTACAGGAGCAGAAAGCTTCATTGTTCTCCCGCAGAACAGCTGGTAGTTTCGAACTGCTGACCTTGTGGTTTGCAGTCCGATTTGTAACTACTACGCTACCAGAGCTCCTTTAGGCATTACAAATCCTCTGAAGCACAGTTCTACTCTGACACACGTGAGATTGCTTGAGTGGAATCAACTCCACAGCAACTGGTACTGATAAACAGAAGCAGTTTCTCTATTTCAGATTAAGATGACTCAGCTTACTATTAAAATCAATAATCTTTAACAATGACCCTTAGACCTCAAGAATAGGTGTGTAGATCAGTTGGTATTACCCTTCTGTCCATCAGGACTTCATTTTCTTAAACATTTGTAAGACTTACCAGTTGCTCCTGGGAAACCCTATACAGGGTCGCTGTGAGTAGGAACCGACTCCACAGCACTTAACAAGACCTCAGAAAAGTCTTTGACCTCATAAAACAGTCTCCCCAGGTAGCTTAGCCAAGTGCACTATCCAAGAGTTGGCCGTATCCATTCCAGCTCCTTTTTCCTCCTCAAGATACCTGGTTCAGTTGTGACCTAAAATCATTCTCACCATGGTCATATAGGTAGCCTCTGATTGTCCAGTCAATTCTTCCTCAGTCACCTCCTTTGTACTTATTGAGGAGTAAACATGTTTCTAGAGTGGAGAAAAATAAACATTTTTATATAAACATTTCTAAAAATCAAAACAAACTTATTTATCAGAAAATAATTCACCACTCCTATTCCCAGGGCACCAAACTACCCATACCAGTAGATACAAAGTGTTATTGAGAGCAATGTGTAATTATCACTAATAATGATCATTCATTTTCAGTCTTCCTGAGAATTAACTTGTCAAGAAAGAGTACCATCTTACGAATCCCTTGCTTCCAAAACCAAACATTCTACTTATACATCAACGTTCATTGCAACACTATTCACAATAGCCAAATGGTAGAAACAACTCAGTGTCTATCAACAGGTGAATGGATAAACAAAATGTGGTATATCCCTACAATGGATTATTATACAGTCAAAAAAAAACACCAAAAAAGTGAAGATCTAATAGATGCTATGATATACTCATAGATTAACCAAGAAAAAAATTAGTGAAATCCATCTGACACAAAAGGACAAATACTGTATGATCCTACTTACATATCTAGAACAGGCAAATACCTAGAGACAGAAGTAGGTTAGTAGTTACCAGGGCCTGACAAACAGGAAAAGTGGGGCGTTACTGCTTAATGCAAGGAGCGTTTCTCCTATAGGAGCACTGTGAGTTAGAACCAACTCAGTGGCGATGTGTATTGCTTAATGTGTATGGAGTTTCTGTTCGGGATGATAAAAACATTTTATAAATAAACAGTGGTAAAGGTTGCACAACATTGTGAATGCAATTAATGTCACCAGAATATACACTCAAAAATAATTAAAACGGAGATTCTGTGTTATATATATTTGATCACAAACAAGGTTTTTTAAAAGTCAAGCATCTTTGTTTGCATGGGGCATTTAGGTAGCAGAATACTTATCTTGACAAATTATTTGCATTCTGTGGTTGTCTCATTCTAATTTAATTCCTGGCAGGATGGCATTAATCAGCAGTGACAGTCATCACCATTCTGTACATATGGTGGGGGTCCTGGATGTCCCTCACTTATATGAGGTCAATGGCACTCGGAGTCTTGGTGTGGCGCTGTAGGATAAGCACTGTACTGCTAACCACAACTAACTCATAAGCCGTTCCTCTGAAACCCTATACAGGATCTCTATGAGTCAGAACCGACTCAACAGCACTTAACCACAACATTGCTGTTTAAGGAAGTGATGTCATCAGTGATAAATCCTTGGTCTTCTAGAGGCCTCTTTACCATGTTGGGAGAAAATCATACTCTTGAAACATAGCCTAAAAGATGGAAAAGTAACTACATAAAGAGAAGCTTAAAGATGGAGGAAGGGGGTAGAAAAGCAATAGGATTTCAAGGAAATGAGTTTTCTCAATCTTTAAAAACTAGTTTCTGTCAAATGGACCCTGATTCATGGTGACATCATGTGTGTCACAGTAGACCTGTGCTCCATAGGGTTTTCAATGGCTGATATTCAGAAGTAGCTTGCCAGACCTTTCTTCTGAGGTACACTCAAACCTCCATGCTTTCTGTTAGTGGCTGAGTTCACTAACCATTTGCACCATCTGTGGACTCCTATTTAATCCTTGGAAGCCCTTACATATAGTCCCATTTCAAATTGGTATGGAGGGAAAAGTTCATCTTTGTCTTTGCTTTCTAAAGGTCTCTAATAGAGATTGAATTGTGTTCCCAAAAAAGATAGGTTAAAGTCCTAATCTCTAAAAACCATAAAAGTGATCTTGTTTGGAAATTGGATATGTAAAGATGTTATCAGTTAAATTAGCATGAGGTCATAGTGAAGTAGAGTAGGCCTTAATCTCACCTGAGCTGTGATTGTTAGGCACTGTCTATAACAATTCTATATACAACAGAACAAAACACCGCCTGGTCCTGTGCCATTCCCACCTGAGTAATGTCCTTATAAAAGAAGAGGAGATACAGAGAGACAGATGAAGGGTGGCCCTGTGGAGGTACATTTTCAAACCAAGGAGCACCTGAAGCTACTAGAAGCTAGAAGAGACAAGAAAGTATCTTCCCCTAGAGACTTCGGAAGGAACATGACCTGACCAACATGTTCATTTGGACTGCTAGTCTCCAGAATTGTGAAATGGGGGAAAAAGCATTTCTATGTCTTTAAAGCCACCCAGTTTGTGACACTATGTTAGGACAGCTGTAGGAAGTCAAAACACTACCTGATACATAATCTTAACCATTAGCTCTTGAAGGTATTTTAATAATTCTCCTTTATATTTACAAAGTGCCTCATAGATTACACAGCATTGCTCTATCATTTTATTTGAGCCTTACAAACAAGTCCTGTGATCCAGGCAGGCAGAAATGTGTGTGCTTATCCTTCTTCTACTGATGAGAATGCTGATGCTCAGGCCGAGCTGGTCTTAAACCCAGGCTTCCTAACTCCAAGTTTAGTGCTCTGGATCCTCTACCTGCTACCAGGATCTACTTCCTGGCCTATTCTGGCTTACTCCATCTCACATTTGGAGGCTTTTATTTTATTGCAATGATAAAGAGTCCCTGCTCTGTGCCAGGCACAAGACCTAATGATGACTAAGACAGTTCACAGAGCAGTGAGAACAACATTTCCTTCTAGCCATTTCATCTTGGTTCATGCACCCTCGTAGGGCAAACCAGCAAAATAGCAGAGTTCTTCTCTCACCTCTGGATTTGCTTTCTTTGTGTTCTCCAGGTTTTTGACCAGGGCTGTAGAATTCACTGAACTGCAAGGCATGAAAAGCAGTAGAATTAACCAAGCAGTACTGTACATTCAGAAGTTCCTACCTAGGATCCCCCACATAAGTTTGAAGAGACAGACTCTGCAGATAGGATCATTAGCTGTTCTAGATTCCTATAAGGAACACTGGTGTCCTTGTGGATTAGGTATTGGTTTATTAACTGTAAGACCAGCAGTTCAAATCTACCAGCCACTCTGTAGGAGAAAGATGAAGCTGTCTGCTCCAACAAAGATTTATAGTTTTGAAAATTTTCTATAGAGTCTCTGTGAGTCAGAATCGACTCAATGGCAGTGGATTTAGGGTTTGTTTGTTGTTGTTGCTGTTGTTATATTCCTATAATCAATGCTACTAAGCTCACCTTGAAACCTGAGAATGCATCTCTTCCAGTGCAAGACACACTGGTTTCAAGAGGGAGACTTTGCAGATAGGTTCATTAGTTATTCTAGATTCCTATAAGGAGCCTGGTGTCCCTGCAGAGATAGTTTAGACTGAAAAGCAACTTCTATATCAACCAACTTTCTGTCCATAACAAGTAAGACAATTTTAAGTGAATGAATAGAAAGGGGCCATGGAATTAGATTCCCTCATTGGAGATCTTTAAGAAGGGAGAGACATTGTGTGTTTAGGCTGGAATGATGAAACTTTCAAGCCAACAAGTAAAGGAGACAGGACACCAGCAGTCAAAACTGCTTCATTGTCACTGCTGTCAGCCAGCATTGGGGACCCCAGAGAGAAAGCATCCCCCTTAAGAGCTGGAAACACTTCAACAGTCAGGCCAAAGGAAAATGGCAAGTCTACCCCTTCCTCCCTCCTGACTGCCAGAGATGTCGTCTTCTCTCCCGCTAGCAAACCACTCTTTTAAAAGGCCTGGATCTGCATGGAGGGGATTATAACCATGGCAATGAAATGATAAACAATAGGATGAATGTAAAACTAATGTTCTCCCATGTTAACTATCACATAATTCACAATAAAACATTAAAAAAAAAAAAGACATGGATCCCAGTCATTTCTATAGAATCATTTGAATCAAGCAATCTCTTCAACCAGAGACTTTTGCACTTTAGGTCCCATCTCTTAATTGTAGAGATGCTGCCATTTTTAACCATCTTTCAGGCAGTGTCTGCAAAAGCTATGCCCTACAGGTAGGACCTAATCACCAGCCTGGGGCTAGGCACATGCTAGGTGCTATCCCATCTCATTTATCTTCACACCACCTGTGTGAGGCTGGGGACATCTGTGTTTTACAGATGTCCTAAAGTGAAGTTAAGATACAAATCAAGATTAAAGTTAGGAAAGAAACCATAAAGTTGTTTTTGTCCCAAAGTGGAAATGTTTTTATTATATTTTCTGATTATACAGTTGTATGTTCTCATAATAAAAGAATTCAAATAATATAGAAATGTAAACAGAAGTCACTGTACCCTGCAAATCTTACCCGCACTGGGATCACCTTCTCTTTTTATCCCAAATGCCACTGTTACTAACATTTTAGACTTATCCTTCCAAATCTCTCTCAGTGCAACAAGCGTAGATACACTCTCACAAATAATTTAATATAGACTCTACTGAAATGAACATTATTTTATTTTATTTTTAACAAAAATGAGATCATACAACATATTCTATAATGCTATCCTTGGTCATTACATACAATCTTATCAAGGATCTGATGAATCTCTGTGTAATGACTTAGAATTGGATATCTATTCATTTAATTATTGCCTTTCTGATAGATACTGAGCATGATCATATTTTAAATTATAATCAGTGTTGCAGTGGTCATGTTTAAACATAAATCTCAGCATATCAGTCTGATTTTATTTATTTATTTTTTTTTAGGGTAAACTACTAGGCCTGGAAGGAGCTCTGGTAGCGTAGTAGTTACGAATCGGGCTGCGAACCACAAGGTCAGCAGTTCGAAACTACCAGCTGTTCCGCAGGAGAAATGAGGCTTTCTGTTCCCCTAAAGATTTACAGCCTCGGAAACCCTGACAGGGTTGCTATGAGTCGCAACTGCTTCCACGGCACATAACAACAGCAACAACAACAACTAGGCCTGGTGTCCTGGTGTGGTGCTGTGGGTTAATGCTCCAGACTGCAAAGCTGTTTGAACTGCAAAGTCAGTGGTTCAAGCTCACCAGCTGCTCCTCGGATACCCCATACAGGGTCGCTATGGGTTAGAATCAACTCAACAACAACAACTAAGCATAGTTTACATAGCTGATCTTGGTGTGGCACTTGCAATTCAAACTCACCAGCTGCTCCTTGGAAACCCTATAAAGGTTCGCTATGAGTTGGAACTGACTTGACAGCACTTAACAACAAAAACAACAAACAAATAGATGTGAAACTGCTGTTCTTCATTTTGAGGGGAAGTGAGGCCCACAAGGAGGAAGTGATTTGTCCACAGTCTCTTAGAAATTTGATAAGAGCTGATATTGGAACCAAGGTTGTCTAATGTGTGGTTCTGTGTTCTTAAGACTTTGACAGCAAGGACCCTCAAAGAAGATAAACAAGTCCAAAACCAAACTGGAAAGTCCTATGGAGTGGGATGAAGAACCTAGCAGTCATGAGTGCTGACTATATGGTCCATGTTCCACAGGGGAGAAGACTTCAAAGTCATTATGAATTAGTCCTAATAGGGTCCCTTGACTATTGACATTATTTCAATAACAGACTATTTTCCCTACCACCATATTTTTTCAATAGTTTGTAAGACAAGGGATATGGACCTGCCAACAGCTAATCAACAACCACCACTGAAACACAAGTGCCATGTCAGAACATCTGGGCCTTTCTGAGACCCTGGGAGAAATACTGATGAAAGTCAGGCCTTTAAAAACACATTTCAACAATAAACAATTTGAGGGTATCCATTCAAAAGTCTCCTCCCTTATAATTAGAATGAGATCTTAAAAAAAAAAAAACCACAACTATCTATCCTCAAGATCTGAGCTTCTATATGAAGTGTGTTGTTGTTACGTGCCGTCGAGTCGGTTCCGACCCATAGCGACCCTGTACAGGGTTTCCGAGGGTGTAAATCTTTACGGGAATAGAAAGCCTGATCTTTCTCCCGCAGAGCAGCTGGTAGTTTCAAACCGCTGACCTTAAGGTTCGCAGCCTGATTCGTAACCACTACGCTACTGAAGTGTGTAGTGTGGATAATTTGAAAATCATTTCCAGCATTGAATGGCACCATGGTTGTTGTTGTTTAAGATTTATCTTTTAAGTTATGCTCTACTTAGGTCACCATTTGTTTGTCACCTTTGCATGATATCAAAGCAAAAGAGGGAGGTGTGAGACTGTGCAAGGCTTCACAGGAGTACAGTGAGTAAACAGGGTGGTGTACCTAGGAATGGCATCTGTAAGTCAACCGCACATGGTTCTTTTAAAAATATCTCAGTGAACAACCTCAATGTCCATCAACAGATGAATGAATACACCACAGACTGTGGTACGTACAGACAGTGCAATAGTATGCAACCCTATAGAGACATGAAACCCTGATGCATGCCCACAGCATGGGTGGACCTTCAAAACATCATGCTGACTGAGATAAGTCAATCACAGAAGGACAATAACTACTGTATTGATCTCACTCATATGAAATAAACTAATATACAGAAACCAAAGATCATGAATGGTTACCAGAAATAGGAGAAAGTGGAGAATTTTTCTTTGTGGGGCTCTGAGTATTTGCTAATGGTGATGGAATATTTCAGAAATGAATAGTAAAAATAGTGGCACAACATGAAAAACATAATCAACGTCACTGAGTTGTAAGATTTTTTTAAATAATTTTTTTAAAAAATCTTATTGGATAATAACCCAAAGTATAAAATCAATTATCAAGGAAAAAAAGATAGCTCAGTGACAATGACAGTTAGGACCCTCTCGCTCTCTGTCACTTTGGGTTAGAGACAATACTGTATCCCTAGCTTCCCATGTAGAGGGGTGGGGCAGTTCTGTACCTCTTATTCCTGTGGGTCCTCTTCATGATCAGTATCAGAACAGCAAGCAGCAGGATGGTGGCACAGATAATGCCCACAATGACCACTAGCTGATTACCACCGAGGATATCAGGTGCAAGTGTCGCTGGGGTCACCAATGCTTGGCAAAGGAGAAAAGTAATGTGAGGGGTTCAGTACTGCTAAAAAGAGCTGGGAGCCCATTAATTCAGGCAAAAGTTCTACACTAAGTACCAAGAGCCAGGCAGGAAGGACCAGACTCTAAACCATATTGATACACTGCAACACTAGCTGTCCCCATAGGTTGAGAACTAAAGTCTGATCCCTCATTTCCCCTAAAATGTAGATTGAGGTGGTGGGAGCAGAGGCTAGCAGCACTTCACCTATAGTAGAGTTTCCTTTCACATAACAATTCTATTTTTCAATTTGTTTTGCCTGACCTAGAAAGAACAGGCATTTCAAAAGGCTGCTGACTACAACATGCTACCATACTCAACCACATAGCCACGATATCAAACAAGGCATTCCACCTTCACTGATTTACATAATTCACTCTAAATTAGACATTATATATATCAAATACCTCCTGTGTGCCAGACATTGCCAGGCACTGAGGACACAAAGGTAAGTAATACATAGTCCCTGCCTTCAAGGAGGGAAATAAAAACATGCAAACAAAAAAACCACAAACTATTATAGACATTGTGATAGAAGTCTATGTGGAGTACAGAAAGGTACAGAGACAAGGCTAGGCAATCCTTTGGGAATTTGCCTGCAAAAGTTTTAAAGTTTAAGCTGAGTCTTAGAGGAAACATCAAGATTATTGGGCCGACAATAAAGGGATAATAGATCAGATGAGGTTTTTAGGAACTAGCCCAAGAGGTCTGGTGCACAGATTTACATTTGTGAGTATGGTGAGAAATTTGGTTGCATAGATAATAGGATTCAAGTCACAAAGAGCCCTCATTATCTCAACCTGGAGTTTGGCTTAGAAGAGCAATAGAGAAGCCAATGAAAGAGAATACAGAGAGGAATCAAATATTTGCTCAGATTTGTGATTTAGAAAAGATGGCACTGGTAGCAGCGTGAAGAGGGAGTGGCGGTGATGGAAAATGGGAGCAAAGACTGGCTAGAGACCAGGAGTCCAAGCCAGAGACTATGCTGCTAGACTAAGGTGACGGTGATTAACTGGTAAGAAGACAGATTCAACAGTCAGAAGTAGAAATGACTTGTTGACCTATTAGATTAGGAGTCATAACAAAGGAAAGTTGTTGTTGTTAAGTGCCGTCCAGTCAGTTCCGACTCATAGCCATCCTGTATCGGGTTTCCAAGGAGCAGCTGGTGGGTTTGCACTGCCCACATGGATGTTCGCAGTATCGTGCTGATCCGACAGCACCACACCAGGAGTCAAGTATAATTTCAAGGTATCCAATTGGTCACTAACTGATGTTGGGAAGATGGGCTGGGAAGAGGTGTGCAGTGTAAATTTGGACATATTGTCATTGAAGTACTTGCTGATTGTGCAAATGGAACTGACCATAGAATCAGTGTCTAATACTACTGAGATAAAGAAGGCCAAAGCTGGGAAATTAAATGTCCTTGGTAATCCAAGCTAGGGAAGAGGTGGAAGCAGAAGTCAGAATGCAGTGAACTGAGGAGTTAATGAAGAGAGGAGACAGTAAGACACCAGATACAGCCCTTGCTGGTGTTGTCAAGTATGGTAGAGTCAATTCCGAATAATAGTAACCCTGTATAGAGTTTCAGAGGAGCAGCTGGTGGGTTTGACCTGCTGACCTTGTGATTCACAATCTAGTACTAATCCTACAACATCACATCAGAAGTCCAAATACAGCCCTTAGACAAGCTATTTGGCTCTGTCAAGAAAGAAATAGATCATTGATTATGTAATTGTTGTACAACCCTAACTATACTATAAACCATTTAGTTGAACTCTTTATATGGGTGAATTTTTTATGTGGTTTGTGAATTGTATCTCACTAAAGTAGATTTGTTGTTAGCTAGTTTACAGAAACTTAGGATGAAAACTAAAGTCAATCATGTCACAATGTAAGAGTCGAAGAGTTGAGCATAGTTACATCCTGAATGAAGAAGAAGCTAATGGAAAGTGAGAACTCGGATCTTGGAGACCCATGTTGGGAAGTTCCTAAGGAGGAGATGTGGATGCAGCCCCAGGCAGAATGGGCTCCCTCTGCCTCAGAGTCAGAATGGGGGCACCTGTAGAAATGCTTGTGAGTAAGTCAAGTGAGCTCCCACTAAGGGCTAGTATTTTTTCTGTGCAGTGAGAGGGAAGACTTCTGACAGTGACACACACAGAGAGTGGTTCTTTAGCAAATCCATCGGTTCTGCCTTCCTCTCCAGCTGTAACCCTTGGCCATTAACAAGAAGCTGCCTCCATAGACTTTAAAGTCTCTGACCGGTGGTATCCAGATATTATTCTACCTCACCCCCTTAGCTCCACCCAACAAGCCACAACCAACTCCTGGGGGTCTGAGCAAAAGGTAAAAGTCCACAGGCCACATCCTGGCTGCTAACTGGATTATGGTTTAACTATAATCCTCACTTATCAACCTCTTTCAAACAACACAGTTGGCTCTTTATTCTCCAACACACTACTTGCTTTAAGGCACAGTGTTTGTCAGAATACAGAACTTTTGATCAGAAACCCTTCCAGTTCTGATTCTGGTTCCTCCCTGTTCTCCCTCTGTTCCTTGCTTGTCTGTCACCAGCTCAGAATCATTTTCCCTTCCTCTACAGAGTCCTGGTGTGGTGCTGCAGGATAAAGCACTTGACTGCAAGGTCAGTTTGAGCCACAAGGTCAGAGGTTCAAACCCACTATCCACTCCCCAGAAATGCTATACAGGGTGACCATGAGTTGGAGCCGACTCAAGGCCCTTAGAAACAATAACAGAGCATATAGCACTGAAGTCAAGAAAAAATTACTTCGGACATCAACTACCGAACAGCTCCAGTCTCTGAACTCCTATATCTTTAAATCAGTAGACAACACTGACTCTGAGTGGTATATGGTATAGGGTAAGTGTTCACTAAATACAACACATTTAAGGAAGCAGTCAGGGTTGTGTAAGCACAGGAACAGCATCTGACATAAATTTTGCACCTTAGGTATCTCTCTTGCTTCACCCTAGTCCTGGCCCTGCCTACCAGCTATGAGGTCCCTCAGCCCTCCCCAAACAAATGTGACATACTTCTGCGCTCTTTCAGGATCACCTGCAGCGCAATGGTCTTCTTAACCTCCAGGTTCCCCAGGTGGATGCTGCAGGTGTAGTTTCCTCCATCAGACTCCTTCACTTCTTGCAGCATTATGGAGCCATCATTGTGGGAAATGTCCCCCACCAGGCTCACACGGTTCTGGAAGCGTCCTCGGTTTTGTAAGTACCCCACAGGTACATTGATTTGGGAGTAATACTGCAACACAATCTCCTTCTAGAAGGGAAAGGTAAAAAGTATAACGTTGTAAGGAATGGTGGCTCAGGGAAGGAGAGTATGGGTTAGGGAAGAGTTCAGGACAGACAAGCTTTGTTATATGTAAGTTGTCAATGTATGATCATATAGACACATGTGTGTACATACATGTTTAGTTGTGAATGCAGAGATAGTGCCTAAAAGGAAGAACATCGCCAAATCAAAAACAATTGTTAACTCTGAAGAGAGGAATGAGGATAATGAGAATGAAGGACTTTCACTTTTCACATGTCTCCAATAAAAAACAAAAAGGACATTTTACTTTTTATGACATTTCCAGCAGACACCTGAAACATGCCCAAAGTGGAACTCTTGATTTTCCCTCCAAACTGGGTCCTTCTAGTCCAACCATTTTGATGAATGACAATGACTTCTTCCAGATGTTCAAACTAAAGGTCTTGGAGTCATCCTTAACTCATCTCTTCTTCAAACAACTCACATCCTTCCTTCGGCAAATTCTCTCATCTTTCCTTTTACATATACTCCAAATCTGGCTGCTTCTAACTTCCTCCACTATTACTACTCCAGTCCAAGCCACCTTATATCTCACCTGGATTCTTGCAAGAATCTCCCTGATTCTTCCCCCACAGCCATTCCACCCTGAATGCACCTGATCTCATCTGATCTCCGAAGCTAAGCAGGGTTGTGCCTGGTTAGTACTTGGATGGGAGACAGGATTTGGAGTCCTTGTGTGGTGCTATGTGTTAATGTGCTGGACTGCAAAGCCCATTTGAACTGCAAGGTCAGCAGCCCAGGCTCACCAGCTGCTCATTGGAAAACCTATACAGGGTTGCTATGGGTTGGATCTGACTCAAAGACACTTAACAACTACAACAACATATCTACTGGGTGTTGCAATATAGAATAAGTAGTGGACTGCTAACCACAGTGTCGGCAGTTCAAACCTACCAATCACTCCTTGGAAACCCTGTACAGGGTCACTATGAGTCGGAATCAATTTGACAGCACTTAAAAACAACAACTATTCTCAGCAGAATTGTCAGATGAAACTTTGGAAGTATAATTTAAATCATAATTATGTTATTTTCTCTGCTCAATTCCCTCCAATCCTCCCCATTTCTACTCAAAGCACAAGGTCCTATATGATCTGATGCACCCCTCTTTTCCTGTCTGTCATCAGCTGCTACTTATTCTTTCTACATCCACTGATATCACTTCAAGCTCGTCACACAAGCCTTCTTGCTATAGCTTAAGTTCTGACTTTAGGGGCCTTGTAGTTGCTACTTCCAAATACTAGAACACTCTTCCCTTCAGACCTCTGGTTCAGACCTCGCCTTCTTAGGGAATCCTCTCTGACACCTATATAAAATAACCACCACCATATTCTGCTATTTCCTTTCTCCTTTTCTTGTTTAAGGAGCCCTGGTGGTGCTATGGGTTAGGCATTGAGTTGCTAACCACTAAGTCAACAGTTCGAACTCACTAGCCACTCTTCAGGGGGAAGAGGAGTCTGCCTGCTTCTAGAAAGATTTACAGTCTCGGGAACCCTACATAGGATCTGCATGAGTCAGAAGCGACTCATCAGTAGTGGGTTTGGTGTGGGAGGTGGTTTCCTTGTTTGACTATTCTCCATAGCTTTTACCACTAGAATTAAATGTTTATTTCTTCATGATTTTACTGTATAAATCCCTCCACCTAGATTATAAGTCCTCATGAGGGCAGAGGCTATGTCTGTGTTTTTTACAACTATGTTCCTGAGAGCCTAGAAGTGTTCACCACATTGAAGATGGCCAAAAAATAAATAAATAAATAAATTCTAAATTAATGAGTTGGTATTTTTCATAAAAGTATGTATATATTATTTTTCTTTGAAATGTTTTAAAGAAAAGGTCATGGATAGACACGAACACAAATGGAGACACCTGGCCTATGACTTATTGTCAAACACAGCCTCAAAATGTCAACTTTCATCCTATTTCCTGTTGTGAGTCACTTAATGAATGGCATATAAAATGTATTGCAACTCCCAGGGGTGAACCTAGGACTGTGTTACCCCTCAGATGCCATTAGGACAGAGTCTTAGTGTTGCGCTGTGGGCTAATGTACTGGACTGCAAGGTCGCTTGGACCACAAAATCAGTGGTTCAAGCTCACCAGCCACTCCTTGGAAACCCTATACAGGGTTGCTATGAGTCAGAACTAACTCGAAAGCACTTAACAACAACAATATGTTATTATGATGCTATATTTCCTGACCTACACATAAAGGAATCAAGTGACTGTAATAACTTTTTAAACAGGATGCCCTGAAATATGCTTTGATTTATAAAATTATACTTTTATCAACTTTGCACCTTATTTTTTATTAGCAACAAATTACCTGGGATGTAGCTCAAAACACATCTTGTCCCATCTATTTACTGCATCACAGATTTTCCATGAAATGACCTTTCTCTTAGTTCCTGGAATCTACTAATCCCAACATTTCAAGCATCTAAGGACTTCTGGTGTGGTGTTCCAGGGCTGATCTGGACTGCAGACCACAAGGTTGGCAGTTCAAACCCACCAGCTGCTCCTTGGAAACCCCATACAGGGTTTCTGTGAGTCAGAACTGGCTCGATGGCACTTAACAATAACAGCAACAATGAAGGCAAAGAAAATTCCCCCGTCACATAAATGAGGCAATGGGGAATAGAAGAAAACTAACAAAAATAACCCCAAATCACTATGAAACTTATTCTTATGCTTAGCCCATGGCTTTCCTGGCTAGAGCACAAAAATCACTCCTCTCCTCCTCCCATGCTACTCTCAAAGAGAAAGGAGAAGACAAAGGAAATGAAATGCTAAAAGGTAGTGGCCAAGTACAAAGTGTTCTACCTGTAGTATCTCATATCAGTGCCTTTTGACAACGCCAAAAGCTAAGCAATATCATCATCATCATCACAGTCACCTTTCCCTTCAGGAAGCTAAACTTGCTAAGAGGAAGTCCAGTTTTGGCAGGTTCCAAAGCCCAAGTTCTTATACCATAACCACACAGTATCTGGTAAATAGATTCTCTCTTCCCCCCACTGTCCTGAGATCATTGGCCAGAGGCTTCTACTACACAGGGATGTTTCTTCTTCCTTACCTTGGCATGTTCTCCTGACGAGAACTCCCAGTCTAACTTGGTCATGTGTTTCTCTTGTGTACTCTGGAAAACACATCTCATCTGAGCTGAATCACCCACCTGGACAATGAGCTCTGGAAATAAAAAGGTAAAGTAAGTCAAACCCATGGTATAACCTGTAGACGTCAAAGGTCTTCTGGAAAGACCATGTTTAGTCAAAGATCTTCAGCAGCAAAATCAATATCACTACCAAATATTGTATATATTTCCTCCATAAATGATCTAGATGGTTCTGTGTAGACAAGGTACTCAGAGGTCTTTCACTAGAAGCCAGCATGACATCTCCAAGGGTAAGAGGATACTCTCAACCCACATTTGTCAAGTCTCAAGGTTTCTTCTGTCTTCACACTGCAATAAACATTCTCTAAAAACAACAACAACAAAAAAAAAACAACCATTGTTCTTGAGTTGATTCTGACTCGGTGACCCTATAGAACAGAGTAGAACTATATCATAGAGTTTCCAAGGTGCAAATTGTTACAGAAGCAGAAGACTGCCACATTTTCTCCTTTGAAGCAGCTGGTGGCTTCAAACCGTAGACTTTTCAGTTAACAGCAGAGTGCTTAAACACTGCATCACCAGGGCTCCTAAAAATTCTCCAATCCCCTTTAATTCCCTTCTTCCTTCCTTTTCCCAGAACTCCTCCCCCATGAATCCCAATTCCATGTCAAGTCTATACCATAGAAATCACAGAATTTATGATGTCTACTTTCTTTCCACAATCTCAGATACTCACTTCTGCTTAACAAACAGGAAGTGGAAAATTATATAGCTTTCATTGTTGTATAAGACCCCAAGTTTCTCCTAGCTGAAAAAAACTGAATCACAGGTAACTTTCCTCCACTCTTTTTGTTATTTATTATTTTTTTGTAAGTTGTCTTAGGACTTACTGACCACTTCTGGTTAGAGTACTCATCATAGGACTCTTGGCTAATTAGACCAAGACAGTAGATAGCTTTCCCCTTGGCATTTCTGTTTCAATCTCTGCTCCCACCTGACTCCAGTTCCAAATTCCTAGGTTCTTTCTTCTGCTTATTTATTTGTACAAGTATTCTGACTCTACCATATGACTATTGCACAAGTCATTTCAGAAGGTCCCTGAAAAATGAGACAATGAGATTGACATTTCTAATTTTTCAGTATTGTTCTACACAAATCAACCACAAAGTCAATTAAGAAGTGAAAGACTGGAGGCAAATAAGGAGGCACAAACCTAGGTCTTACCTGACAGAGCTCTTCCATAAGAGAGGCCAGTAAAGCTCACACAGTTACAAGCATAGGAATTAGATGACCTTTTTATTTAAACTATTTCCCCTGGAGAGTATGAACTTACTGCCCAGCAGGAGAGATGCACCATGGGAGGGAAGCAAAAGAAAATATTATGAACTCCAAGATTTACGGAGAGAATTGTTTCTAAAGTCATAAAAATTCACTCCAAAGAATTCCAGTAGGACAAGCTGTTGCTGTTATTTTCGGGACACCACTGAATCTATTTCAATTCATTATGACTCTATAGGCCAGAGTACAACTAACTTACAGGGTTTTCCTAGACATCTTCCCTTAAATCCAACAGCATATTAAAAACTGAACTCTGAAAAAAATGCAACAACTTCCTGAGTCTTTTCAGTGTACTAGACAAGTGCCAGACACCTCACAAGTAGTGCACCAGTTAGTCATTACAATATTTTGAGGTATCTATGTGCACTGTCTCATTTCATAGATAAGCAAACTGAAAGAGCCTAAAGTCACAAGGCCAGTCAAAGGTAGAACCAGCACTCAAACTCAGACCTGAATGAAAACTAAGTCTCAGCTTTCTCACTCACTATTCTAGTCCATCTCATAGAAGTAGGGGCAGGGAGGATGTCTGATTCTACAGCAAGAGTACAAGAAGTTAATCCTATTATTTATAATAATAATAATGCCAAAACAAAACCGGAGGGAATAGAAGCAAATACTGTTGAATGATGAGGCACTGACGGGATTGTAATCATTGCAATGACATGAAATATGATAGAATGAGTGTAAAACCAATGTTCACTCAATTCACAATAAAAACTTAAAAATAATAACATCTGTAGTATTTAAAATAAGAATCCTAGAAAAAGTTAAGACTAAAGGGTAAACTTTTTAGAGAAAATTATGTAGTTGTTGTTAGGTGCCATCAAGTCAGTGCCGACTCATAGCGACTTTATGCACAGCAGAATGAAACACTGCTCGATCCTGGGCCAACCTCACTATTGTTGCCATGCTTGAACCCATTGATGCTGCCACTTGGCCAATCCATCTCCCTGGGGGTCTAGATGACTGCAAAAATGGAGTTTCCATTTTCCACGTGGAAGGAAGTAATCTCCCTAAAGAGAGTTGATTGATGGCTTTTCACTAAGCCGCTAGACAAAGTTGTTAGGGGTTGGATCTATTTCCTCTTTGACTGTAAAGGGGGAAAAATACAGGTTGCTCCACTGGCTGCTGTTGTTGTTAAGTTAAGTGTTGTCAAGTCAGTTCCAACTCATAACAACCCTGTATAGGATTTCCTAGTAGTGGCTGGTGGGTTTGAACTGCCAACCTTGCAGTCCACTGCTTATTCTATAGTGCCACACCAGGACTCCTGTTACTATGGCTGCTGGAGGAGTATCTGACTGCCTTTAAAGTTAGCCTGTGTCTATAGATTCTTCATCTATGCATTGGTTCCCTTTAGAGTTCTCTGTGCTTTCTCTAGGAGCCCCTGGATGCAGTGATTAATGTACTTGGCTTCTAACCAAAAGGTTGGAAGTTCAAGCCCACCCAGAAGCACCTCAGAAACAAGGCTTGGCAATCTACTT